AGACAATTTACACTTAAAATAAGAAAACACAATTCCATTGTCTTAATTTAAGTGCATATTATCTAATTATCTTTTAAGAGTAGAAATACACTTTCCATTGGCAAACCAAACTACCTCATTTACCTACTCAAATTAAGGCTAAATTCACCTAATTTAAGACATTTTTACTTATTTCAAGATCGTTTTTCCAGTGTATGTCCTCCAGAAGTCTAAGCCCATAGCAGCATAACTATAGAGGTAGTTAACAAGCCTTCTAGAAATCTCCTCTCTGGTTCTTGGTACACGAGAAGAATTTCCTCAGACAAGATTCAGCACATCGCTTAAGGAAGAGAGGGTGAGAGAGCAAGAGAGAAGTGGAGAAAATGGGAAAGAGAGGGAGCAGGAATTCCAGCATGTACAGACTAGCAGCACTGACAGCGTGTTTGCACAAAGGAAGCATCCAGATTTTAAAACAATATCAATACATATGCTGTTCTGCATAGTGATGATGGTCCATCTATAGATCTGCTGATGCCTTCCTTTTTATCCTGACTTAATGCATTAGGATATTAAAGTCTGTTGATGCAGCAGCATGCATGTATGCATAACTGCATTGGTTGCACTATAGATAGAGGGTCTTACTCACCCTCTGATTCACGAAGTATGTCCCAATAATCTGGAGAGTGGTGTAGGTGAGGCTACCTCTCACGGGTGAGTAAACGATACTTAAATGTTGAGCAAGGAAGAAACATTTAAGGCTAGAATTAAATTTCAGGGCATATTTTTCAGCCTAAATATAAGTCTGTAGAAATATAGATAAATATATGTAAAAATGAAACATAAGGTATTTAAAATACTATTTTCAGCCAGCTTAGTATTTCAAAATAAAGAACTCCCGAACTTTCTCACAATATTTTATTTTATATGGGTTTTATATGATGGACCTACACACTGCAGGATGTTTGCACTCAATGTTCTACTCAAACGGTGTGCCCTGCGACGCCCGTAGAGGTCCGTTAGTGAACAAAGGAGAACAAATAGCATCATGAAGACCAAGGAACACAGCTGACAGAGCAGACACGAGGAAAAGTTTAAAGCAGAGTTAGGTTATAGAGCAACATCTCAGACTGTCACAGAACCTCATTCAAAGCAATACCCCCAAACAGAAAGAATATGGCTCCAATCAAAGAGGAAACAGCCTTCAACCTGAACTAGGAAAGAACTGGACTAGTTTAGATAGATGAAAAGGACAGGCACTTTTTATGTTAGTAGGTCACTTTACTTTACAAAAATCCTATGTGGCGTTCACCACCCGTGAACACTGGGACGGAACTCAATGGGAAAGGAAATGATTCTGATTTCAACCTTTGCGTATATTAGCTGCGACATATGAATCAAGATGCCATGACTGAAAAAATGTGATTGACAGATGACCGCTGATATATGATTGGCCGAATTTAGGCGTACAGGCTGACGTATAACTAACTGGCCTGCAAAGGATAACGGGGGAAAAAACACAGATTTTAAGACAGGATTTTTTTTTTTAATGAAAATGTTCTAAATTTTGGGACAATATTGTCTGAAAAAGAGTACATTTATATACATGTTTAATCCAGAATGATTTGACATTTAAATATGACTTCCCTACGACTTTAAACTTGGTTGTTATATAACTAGTGTTAGATTCCATCAATGTTGGTGGTGACATAACTGTTATATGCAGGACTTTGGCCTCTATCTGAAGGGTTGCTGGTTCAATCCCTGGTTCTGACATCAATGTTGCTGCTCTAATTAACTTATAT